GCCAGATCACAATTTTTGCTGCTGCTGTATATAGTCAGATATCGGAGATATATTCAACAAAAATAAAGGAATATGTTAGAAAATCGTTGTGACATAACGCATGAACATTGTTTGATTTCCGAGAAATATTGAACCATTAGAAATCAATGAATTTTTTTTATACCCTCCAACTTGAAAAGAAGGGTATATTAACTTTGTCATTCCGTTTATAACATCCCTAAATATTCGTCGTAGGCCTCATGAAGTCTATATATTTATGTCTGTCCGTCAGTTGAAATCACGATACAGCCCACATTATTTGACGCAGAGCTTCAAAATTTGATCTGAACAATTTGTATTGTGTCTAGGATGGTTGGTATTGAAAATGAGATATATTTTGATGATTTTCGCCCCATTTTTTCATGGATTTGTCTAAAAGTTGGTATTTGTAGATCATAATGCTTTCTAGCTCCTGTGGCGAAAAAGCGGTATCTCCCGATATTCGGTATTTTGATAATTTTTGCCATATTTATTCACGGATTTGTCTAAGAATTGGTATTTGTAATTCATAATGGCTTCTTGCTTCTGTTGCGAAAAATAACCGTACCTCCCGATATTCGGTATTTTGATAATTTTTGTCATATTTTTTCCCGAGTTTGCCTAAAAGTTGGTATTTGTAATTCATAATGGTTTCTTGCTCCTGTGGCGAAAAATAACCGTACCTCCCGATATTCGGTATGTTCATTATTTTTACCACATTTTTTCACGAGCTTGCTTAAAAATTGCTATTTGTAGTTTATAGTGTGTTCTAGTTCCGGTGGCAATACATTTAATATTAAGGTAGACGTTTTCCTATAACGCACATATGACGATTCCACCGATATTCGGTATTTTGATAATCCTAGTCACATTCACCCACGAAATTATTTCAAATTTGATATTTAAGAAGATTTGGTAGACGACAATCCTTAAATTATAAAATGTCCTAAATAGGTTCCCGTCCTCACATAGTTTATGGTTTTTTTGAAAAGGTTAACAGCATTATCCAAACGGTCTTACTGCGATTTGTAGTTTAAAGTGGAAGATTGTGAATTCACATTCTTTTATATAAAAATATTTTTTTTACCCTCCACCATTTGGTACAAATTTGGCAATTTCCAAAAAAAAAGTAAAATCCGTTAAAAATTCTGTTAAAATCTTAAAAATACCGAATGCCTATATGACGACGTGGACCTGCATAGGCAATTTTTGGCATAAGTTATTACAATATTTAAATGCGAAACTTGAAGAAAAATCTGTTAATAATGTAGCTAAAATCATCAAAATACCGAATATAGGGGTTACCGTTGTATGGGGGTTATACGAAGACGTGGACCTGCACAGACAATTTTCTGGCATGGGCTGAAGTATCCATTTCGAACTTCACATGCGAATTTTTAAACAATCCCGGTAAATAATGTCGCTAAAATCATCAAAATGTCGAATATCGGGGGGTACGGTATATGGGGGCTATACGAAGATGTGGACCTACATGGCCCATTTTCTGTTATATGCTGCAGTATCTATTACGAACTTCAAATACCAAATTTGGAACGATTCCGTTAAATAATGTCGCTAAAATCATCAAAATACCGAATATCGGGGGGTACCGTAATATGGGGGCTATATAAAGACGTGGACCTACATGGCTCATTTTTTGGCTTATGATGTAATATCCATTACGAACTTCAAATACCAAATTTGAAACGATTCCAGTAAATAATATCGCTAAAATCATCAAAATACCGAATATCGGGGGGTACCGTTACATGGGGCTATACGAAGACGTGGACCTGCACAGATAATTTTCTATCTTAGGCTGCAGTATCCGTTGCGAATTTCAAATGCCAAATTTGAAACAATTCCGGTGAATAGTGTCGCTAAAATCATCAAAATACAGAATATCGGGAGGTACCGTCATTAGGGGCTATATGATAACTTGATCTACATGGCCCATTTACGAACTTAACCTGCCTACTGATTAGATAAATGCTGTATCCCATTTTCTTAAGGGCTTCGTTCATTTTAGGCCATTACATCCACTTGGAATTTACCACAACCCAGACTGACTATTGGACATTCCGTAAAAGGGCTCAATTTTTCGAGAATAATTAAAGGTCCGTTTGTCCAATATAAACAAGCGTAATGCGCTAGAAATCTGATATTTGGAGTGAGAGTCATTGATAGAGTAACACCAAAGTGTTTGTGGAAATTTCGTACTTTAAGGTTACGACAAAATCTAAAGTGGTACTACACTTCCAAAAGGTACGGTTTGTGAACGTATAGAGCTTAAATTTAGTATCAGAATTAATGTTGAAAAGTAAGTTTGATATATGAAGGGGATTTTGGAAACTTGTACTAAGTGTGCGGACAGTACTAAATGGTACCACATTTGGAATAGTGTGGTTTAGATTGAACCGATTAAGCTGGAATTTAAAAATTTTGCATTTGGGTCCCTTTTGGTGTAACGAAAAACATGTACACAAAAAGTACTATGTTTTGTATAATTTGGTACTGTATGAACAGATGGTGCTTGAAATCAGAAATTTGTTATTTGTGTCGCTATTCATGTGTAGCCTGGACATACGGAGGTTGTTTCGGAAATGTGTACTATAATTGTACGAAAAGTACTGAATGGTACCATATTTAATATTGGATGCAGGGATAGTGATAAAATTCTGAAATTTAATATTTAGATAACTGGTGGTATTTGTGTTTGAGACATGGTGGTGGTTTAGAAATGTTTCCTTTATTTGTCTCTAAAGTACTAAATGGTATTAAATTTGGTGGTATTGGATAATATGATAGGGCTGGAAATTTGGAACATTATATCTTGCCATAACTGTTAGTGTCTAGGATTGAGTTATGGAACAGTTTTGGAAATGAGCGCTAATTTTATACGAAAGTAGCAAATGTTTCTTAATTTCGTATTAAGTGAATGTGAAGAGTTGGAATTCCGAAATTTGATATTGAGCTCTCTGTTGGTTTGTAGTGTTTACGTGAATGGAGACGTTGAAATAATTTTGGACACAAAAATTGAATGTGGGTCCATTGGTGTAATGGTTCATGAACTCGGTCTGACAATTTTCGAATTTAATAATTTAAATTGTTTTATTTTTAATTGGTTTCATTGTCCTTGCTCTGAATTAATTTTATATTTATATAATATTTCTCATTAACTGCAACTATATTTCCTATCGACGTTTCGAATGTGGGTTATCGCAAAATAACACATCAAATATTTCCTTAATTTTTCCAATACAATTTCCTGTTTGAATTGGACCAGTACGTTTCCTCTCTCCCCCATACAATATCACCAAAGGGAATTCAGTAATGCAATGCAACAACCTGTGGGAAAACCACACAGTTGCAGCAATTCTGCAATGAGAACATCAGTAACACATGAACTAAAGAGTTTATCATTTCGATGGGTTTCGAAGAGAACAAAATTCATTTTCCCATGCTCACTCGCTCTTAGAGGAAATGGATGGAATACATTCCAATTGGAGAAATTCTTATTTTCAAACTGTTCTAACAGGTAGATTAGCGTGGTAAAGGACACGACAAAGGTTGGAAGAAAATATGCAGCACGGGAGAACGATGATGATAATGGCGTTTGTTGTTGCACGGCAGTCGCCGTCGTTCGTCATCGTGGTTTGTGCGAATGGTGGTTGTTCTCCTGAAAACACCACATCAACAGGCATAACTCTTATTTCAAAAGAGCAAACAACCTGCTGCGATGGTCGTGTGTGATAACTCTGATGGGTTATGACTTCGTCTCCACCTGAAGAGGAGAGTGTGAGAGAGAGAGAGAGAGAGCGTCAAAAGCAACAGTCAAATGGAATGTTGTGAGTGCATGCCGTAATGAGAGGAATAATAAGCAACAGTCCCGAAGGCAGTCAGGCGAATGCAAGAGCCACATGGATACAACAGGAAAATACAAACGCACACACACATACACTGATATGCTTACACGACGATGGCCAGAGGAAACACAAAACGAATGTAGGAATATGGCATGTCATCGTCGTTGCCGTCGTCGTGTACGATTCTCAACTTCGATGTGTTGTAGTATATTCAACAGATTCATAAAAATACGATAACAACAACACACAGGAGGTAAAGGAGAAGAACAAGAGCAGTAACAGCAACAGCCGAGGCAACAATTCCAACATGATTTTGCTGTTTGCATGCGATGACGATGATGATGATGATGAATGCGACGAGCAAACCAAGAAGGAACGACGAAACATTTCTGTGCTGTTTTGGGGTGAGTGAATGTTTTGGGTGGATTGTGGACTCGAATGAGTGTGTGTGTGCGTTACGGCGTGTGTGAGCACGCAGTTGCCCAATGCGTCGACGCAGGCACCAGCAACAGATTGAAAGCATTAACAAGTAGTCCAAAACACCACACAATGAGGATAATGATGATGGAAGAACCCGATGATGATGATGCCGCTGCCACCAATGACACCTTCATTGCAGGCGACGTTGACTGCGCCGTTGGCATCGATGATGGCACAAATACTCCGAATAAAAAAATAGGTATATTACCTTAGAATGCCAGTCGTTCTTACTTCAGTCTTCGTACAGTCTTTGCTTTAACCCGTTCCAAATTCTGTCCGCCGCCGTTTTGCTCTATATTACACAATACAACAACAACAACTACTACAATAACAGTAATAATTTGAACCATAATCATTAGAACAAAAGAAAATACCAACAACAACTGCAGCAATACCACAATCATTCTTTAATAGCAATAGCAACAACCACCATAATTTCAAATAAACAAATATTTAAGCTAAAACAAAAAAAAAAAGAAAAAAACAACAACAAAGTCGAAATAGAGTCTCAAAAAAACAATTGGAATTCTTGTGGATAAAAATAACAACAACAATTTAGCAAACAATTGTGAAATTGAATTCGAGAGAATAACAACAAAAAAATAGGTAACAAAAACAAAAGAAAAAAAACAAGATATTCAAAAATCTAACAGTGTTGGCCAAGGCGAGAGAGAGCGAGCGTGTTAGCGTTTTATGTTTTGGCAGTGAAGTTGTGGTCTTTTCAAGTGGCTGCAGAGAAAGTCCCAGAGAAAGAGAGAGCGGAAAGCAGCATAACCTCATTATTACGGTGTTTTGATGTCCAAACGACATCATCATCATCACCACCATTATTGAGCACAGGCTTCATTGACTTCAACTTCTCGTTGGCCAAAAGTCCCAAAAGAAGTCATGCTAACTGGCAGCAAACCTTGCCGCAGCAGTCACAGCAACAGTCATCATCAACGTCGTTGTCTTTGAGGCAGCAAATCCTCCCCCTACACTCTTCGTTTCGAAAAAGTTGTACCACTCCATAAAGGCCGCGTGCTCTTTCTCTCAATAACCATTACCACCACCACCACCACCGTTGCCGCTGTTCACTGTTGCTCGCTCATAATAATCGTCATCATCGTCAGTATATTTTGAGCCTCCTCACGCGTCCACATTTTCCAACCACACACACACACACTCTCACTCACAGCCAAAACGAAACGACAACGAAAAATCAAAGTTGAGCTTAACGTTCAATTCGAATACGGCAGTAATAGCAACAGCAACACACCGGTACCGTACCGTTTAGTTAGTTAGTCAGTCAGTCGTCGTCGTTGTTGTCAGTCGTTGTCTCGTCTCTCACACGCAAAAACCAATCAGCCAACCAACCAACCAACCAACCAGCCAGCCAGCCATTCGGCCAACAAACCAATCAACAATACACCTTTACCACCTATTCCTATTTACCGTCATCATCATATACGCTGCTACCACCACTACCAATGCTAGAACTATTATGTTTTTTGTGTTACCAATAAACGCGCGTTAACAGCACCAACAACAACAAAGTCAACATCATCAAAAACGATTTTTACTCTATTCTAGACCTTAGAAGAGAAGTTTTTCACACTTGGCTTTTCATTTCCGAAATCTCATTCTTATAAATCACAACGTACGTTTATGTCGTCGCTGATAACAAATCGTCGTCTCTAATACGCAAACAAAAGAATTAAACAAAAATAAATAAAAAACATACATATTTTAATTGAAATTCAATAAATAAACAAAATTAGAAAAAAGGAAAAATATTTTAAAATTCAATACGCGAAATTAAAATATTTTTTTAACGGCGCCCTAGAAAAGATCTTAAAAACTGGCAAACTTTCATCTAAAAAAAGAAATAAATTAAATTTCCTTACTGTGAGCTGTGCGTAACAATCAACATTCAAAATACCAAAAATACAAATTTCAATTTTTTTTTAATTTTTATTATTTTCGTCTGAATTATTTTTTTTTTTTTTGTTTTACAAGACATTCACCTCTAATTTCTTGTTTTATCCCCCCAAAAAAATACCCAAGAAAAAAAAAACAAATAAAATACAAAAAAGTGCAATTCATAACTGAGTGTATGTGTGTGTGAGTCTTCTCCAAATTGTATGTGTAAGCTTGTATTTGTGTTATTGAATAAATATACAAAAACAAAAAAAACCCAAACCCGGCTTCAAAGAAGCAAAAGCAGCAGAAGGGTTTGTTTGTTGGTGTCAATTAAATGATTTTAAAGAAATTCCCTCCCCCCCAAAAAAAGTATAACGAAAACAGGTTTTTTGTTGTTATTGTACAACAAAACCACCACTTGAGAGTTAACAACAAAAAAAAGTAATTACACATCGCATATAAGAAAAAAGAGAGAATATACAACAACAAGAAAATTGAATTCCTACACTTGTTACACGTCTTCGCACGTCCAGTCCATAGGCAATTGTGTTGGTAATGTTTTGAAATCCCTCAATTATTACTTCTCTCGCCTTCAGGCATAGAACTTTTCCTAAAACTCTCCTCTTTATGTTCTTAGCAAATTTCCTGACGTCTCTCAAAATCAAGAAATTTGCATTACTTCCTATCTCAAATAGTCTCTCGATATCCTTCTGTATTGTAGTCATAATAACTATTCAAAGTATAAAATTTAGTTTTCAAAATATCTTCTCTTTTGCCAAATCTCTCATTGGAGGAATTGGCATTAGCTTCTACCACAATCTTGCCAAGAAAACTATAATTTTTATTTATAATAGAGAAAATACCGCTTGAAATCCTTTTGAGAAGTCTTTTTCATACATTTTTTAAGAGGAAATGAAGCATTAAATATATTTTTAGTTTTCAAAATACGCATTACAAATTTTGAAAATATGTCATATTTAAGTTTTCATATATATAACATTATTTCTTGAAACTTTTACTACTTATTAGAAGCTAACTAAACAAACATTTGTCAAAATAACGAATAAAAGCATTTGCGACACATTTTATGTTCAAAATATCTAAAGACCTTTATTCGCTGTAAGTTCTTCCAGAAAAATTATGCATTCACTAAAAAGGGTATAATTTATTGAATAAAAAAAAAAAAATACCCTGAATAGCAGTATAATGTTGGTCAATTCATAAATTTTTTCATACATTTTTTAAGAGGAAATGAAGCATTGAATATATTTTTAGTTTTCAAAATATGCATTGCAAATTTTTAAAATATGTCATATTTAAGTTTTCATATATATAACATTATTTCTTGAAACTTTTACGACTTATTAGAAGCTAACTAAACAAACATTTGTCAAAATAACGAATAAAAGCATTTGCGACACATTTTATGTTCAAAATATCAGCAATTTTTCTAAAGACCTTTATTCGCTGTAAGTTCTTCCAGAAAAATTATGCATTCACTAAAAAGGGTATAATTTATTGAATTAAAAAAAAAATTACCCTGAATAGCAGTATAATGTTGGTCAATTCTACTCGTAATAGGAATGAGTTAATATCGTTGATGTAGGAAAAAGATTCTAAAGGAATATTATGATAAATATTATATAGAAAAAAATTATTTTTGAAAAAACGTTGTATCTTAATATGGAGAATATTATGTTAAAATATTAAGAGTACAACAAATGTTTTCCGAAAAATATTAAATAACAATATTTCTCACACATTTTATATTCAAAAATTTATGAATTAAAAAAAATACATTTGAACAATTAAAAAACTTTGAAATACTTAAATAAAAAATATTTTTAGTAAAATTGGGTCGTTTTGAAGAAATTTTAAATTTCTAATCTATAAAATATGAAATGAAAAATCTGACATTTATAAAATTTTTCATTTGTCATTTTCCCATATCAATCCAAACATCTGGGTCCACATATACGTTAACAATTTCTTTTCTTTATAAAATATTAACGAAAAAGTAAATTATTTTTAAATATTCCTTAAGGAATATTATGATAAAAATTATAAAGAAAAAAAATTCGAAAATCGTTGAGTAAATATCTTAATATGGAGAACACAAAAAAATATTAATATTCCAAATGTTTTTCAAAATAAAAAAAAATTTAATAAAAATATTTCTCACACTTTTTATATTCCAAAATTATTGAATTAAAAAAATACATTTGAAAAATCAATTCAATCAAATTTTTAAATATTTAAATAAAAAAAATATTTTTAGAAAAATAGGGACGTTTTGAAGAATCTGATCTTCATAAAATTATTTTTCACTAAGATTTTATAGAGAAAAAAATTTAAATTTCCTATTCTATAAAAATATGAAACGAAAGAACTGATCATTATAATATTTTTCATTTGCCATTTTCCCAAACATCTGGGGTATATGTTGACCCAGATTTTTTATTTCATATTTTTATAGAATAGGAATTTGACAATTAAAAATGTTTTTCTTTATAAAATATTAACGAAAAAGGATTTTTTAATATTCCTTAAGGAATTTCTTAATAAAAATTATATAGAAAAAAATTCTTTTCGAAAATCTCAATATGGAGAATTTTGTGTTAAAATATTGAGAGTCCAACAAATGTTTTTCAAAAAAAATTTTGAATAAAAATATTTCTCACACTTTTTATATTCAAAAATTTATGAATTAAAAAATATATTTGAAAAATCAATTCGATCAAATTTTGAAATACTTAATATTATATATTTTTAAAAAAATTGGGATGTTTTAAAGAATCTGATCTTTATAAAATAATTTTTAGCTAATATTTTATAAGGAAAAAAATCTCAATTTTCAAATTCCTATTCTATAAAAATATCAAATAGAAAAATCTGATCTTTATAAAATTTTTTATTTGCCATTTTCTAGGGCATATGTTGACCCGCAAAATTATTTTATTATTATTTTTTTTTAAATACTCCTTTAACTTTCTTATTATTGAGAATATTTCATTGGCTGATGTTGTTGGGGTTCCGGTAAAATCAATTAAAAAAATTAATACATTGAGTTTTAATTAAAAAATTAAACATTTTTAAACATTTTTACAGAAAAAAATATATACAATTTTTTGTAATAAGGCGTATAATATTGGCCAATATTGTTGGTCTTTATATTACCCGTAAATATCTTAATATGGAGAATATTATTTTAAAATAATATGAGTCCAATAAATATAATTCAAAAAAATTTGAATAAAAATATTTCTCACACTTTTTATATTAAATAAAATATGAATTACAAAAAATACATTTGAAAAGTCAATTCAATTAAATTTTGGAATACTTAAATAAAAACAAAATATTTTTAGAAAGATAGGAACGTTTTGAAGAAGTTGCAAATTCCTATTCTATAAAAATATGAAATGAAAAATCTGACCTATACAATTTTTCATTTGCCATTGTCCCATATCAATTTTTTTCTTTACAAAATATTAGAGAAAAAGTATTTTTTTCTAATACATCTTTTACTTTCTTATTATTGAGAATATTTCATTGGCTGATGCTGTTGGGGTTTCGTTTTGAATCAATTATCAATCACTATTTCAATTTTTCATATTATTTCGGAAAATAGAAAAATGAATTGAGTTTTAACAGAAAAAATTTAAATTTAAAATTTAAATTGTTTTTCTCTTTAAAATATTACCGAAAATATATATAATTTTTTATAATAATGCGTATAAATTGACCAATATTGTTGGAATTCTTAAGAAATATATCGGAAATCAATTTGATAAATTTTTTTAAAAATCAAATGTGAATATATTTTCCAATAAATAGGAACTATTTTTTTTTACCCTGGTAAACATTACCATCGTTCTCCACTAATAAACAAACGTTGTTTTTATATAAAACAACAATAAAGGGATAAGCCTGACCATTCTGCAACAACGAATTATTTATAGTAATTCAAAATCTTCATTCTATAAGATTTTAAAATTTAAATTATTTCAGTAAAAAATATTTTATTTGATATTGTTTTTTTTTTATAAAAAGTAAATATTCCACATTTTTAAACAACTGAGTTGTTTGTTCCCCATAACAATTCGAAAATTATATCAAATAATGTATTCACCAAAAGAAGCTGTCAAAAACTTAAATTTTTGTATCTTTAAAATATTAAAAATAAAAATATATCGGATTGTCAATACATTTGAAAATCAATTTGATAAAATTTCTGAAAAATCAAATGGGAATATATTTCCCAAAAAAAAAAAATCGGAATTATTATAATAAATTCCATAATTTCTTTTAATAGAGAACATTGCGTTAAATGATGTAGTTGGTGTTGTTTCTGAATTAGTTGAAGATCAATTCGCAATTTTGAAATCAATATTTTCAAAAAAAAAAAAAAAAAAAAAAAAAAAAGAATAAATAAATAAATAAAAGTATAAAAATAGTTTGCAAAATAAAAATGGTGAAACTATTTCGTTACATTAAAATGTGATCGAATTGACTTTAAAATTGATTTTTTGGAGGAAAGAGTATTTTTAGTACCGTTTTAATTAAATAAATCCCATTAATAGAGGATTTTGATATTTTGATATATTTTTCTTTTCAAAGAAGAAGCATCATATAAAAGCCTTGCTAAAACATTTCTTTAAAAATCTATTCTTATTTTTCAAACGAGCAATTGCACATGAATTGAGGGCAATACCTCTTATTTCGTGGTTAATACTTTTTGTAGAAATAACTTACACATATATTTTTTCGTTCCGTTTAAAATCCGTTAAAAGTTCTGTTAAAATCTTCAAAATACCGAATGTAGCCGTAATATTAGGGTCTATACTACGACATATTCAATATTCAAATGCGAAACTTGAAAAAAAAAATTGGTGAATAATGTAGCTAAAATCATCAAAATGCCGAAGATCGGGAGGTACCACTATATGGGCGCTATACGAAGACGTGGACCTACACAGACAATTTTCTGTCGTAGGCTGTAGTATCCATTACGAACTTCTACTACCAAGTTTGAAATAATTCCGGGGAATAATGTCGCTTAATTTACCAAAATACCAAAAAGTAAGGAGGTACCATTATATAGGGGCCATACCAAAACGTGGACCTACATGACCCATTTTCAATACCAAAAGTCCTGCAGACATCCTGTTTTTAAGCATTTTTATAACCTACACCACTAGGTGGTCAGGGTATTATGTCTTGGTGCATTTGTTTGTAACAGGCAAAAGGAAACGAGGTAGACCCATAGTCCCTTTAGATGATCTGCATAGAATCACATTCTGAGTCGATTTATGCATGTCCTTCCGTCCGTCTGTCCATGTATTTTTGAAAACAAAGTACAGTTCGCATTTATTGTCCTATCCAGATAAAATTTTGCACAAATCATTTGTTTGGCCCAAGGACGAACCCTTCAATTGGAGATAATCGGTAAAAATTTAGATATAGCTCCCATATATATCTTCGTCCGATTTGCCTTTTATTGTGCACCAAACGTGTAATATCAGTCCGAATAGTATGGAATTTTGCACGTAAGTTCAGATTGGACCTGAAAATAAGTGTGCCAAATTTGATCAAAATCGGTTCAGATATAGCTATAGCTCCCATATATATTGTTTATCCGATTTGTTATTTTTGTCCTCCTCAGCCGTAATATGGACTCTGTAACAACAATATTTGGGGAAATATATCAAATACAGCTCAGAAATACCTTTGCTAAAGTTTATCGAGATCGGATCAGGTTTGGATATAGCTCCCATATATAACTTCGTCCGATTTACCTTTTATTGTGCACCAAATGTCTAATATTTGCCCAAATGGGATGGAATTTGGCACATACGACCGATTTGAGTCTAGAAGCTAGTATGTCAAATTTGGTGAAAATCAGTTCAGATATAGCTGTAGCTCCCATATATACTGTTCATCCGATATGTCATATTTGTTACCCACAGCCGTAATATACACTCCGTAACAACGATATTCAGGGAAATATATCAAATACAGCTCAGAAATATCTTTGCCAAATTTTATTGAGATCGGTTCCGATTTGGGTATAGCTCCCATATATAATTTTATACGATTTCAAATTAATTGTGCACCAAATGAGCAATACAAGTCCGAATTTAAAAGATACAAAGGCTTCGCCATATTTAGTCCTTTGAACTTTAAATTAGAGTTATAATCATAGCGTGTATGATTTAATTCTCCCATAAAAACTTTTAATTGTTATGCGCAGCTCTACTAAATTAGCAAAGTGGTGTAGGGTATCACAAAGTCGGCCCCGCCCGACTTTAAGACTTTCTTTACTGGTTTGACATACATAAACCACCATTACATAAAATAGTTTTTATTATTTTTTTATAATTTTTAACATTTCTGTACTTCAATAACATATTTGTTTTTCAAACAAAAATATTACCAACAAATTTCCTTCTTTTCCTGACTTAGTCATTTAATCACTTTTCAAAAACATTTTTTAATATTTAATATATATTTTATTTTTAGACAACCTTGTCCGAAACATGTGTTTTTTTCTTCAAAATTCCTTTTCAACTCTTAACAATTTTTTGCGCTTTTGGCTCTTCTTCTGGGTCATTTATCTTGCTTATTGTTTTGAGGCTCGTTTGTGGCTTATTGGCCTAAGATTTGTGTCTTAGAAAACCAAAAAAAAAAGCAAGACATATAACCGGGCCTAAAATAATTACTTGCCAAAGAAACATAAATGACTAAACCTACTTGCTGCCGAACAAAACAAAACTTGCAGGTTAGATGAAATTTCAGATGGCGGCATGGCAAGAATAAGAGGAACAAGAAGAAATACAACAAACAAACAAAAAATATAAAAAAATTATTGACAACGTGCAAACCTCAATAATACGAATAGCTGACAAAAAAGAAGAAGACAAGCAAAATCACCAACACCCCAGTCAGACAACCAACCAGCCAGTCAAAGGGAACGAAATTCAAGCCATAAGCCAGTCTGTGAACTAATATGCCGGCCGCAGCTAGCCAGGCAAGTAAATCAACAGAAAAAAGCAAAAGTTCGTTGATACCTTAGAATGAATGACTGGCTGGTTGGTTGGCTGGCGGGCGGGCGGATTTTGCTGGCTGAATAATTGTTTGTAAGCCTTAGAAGTTGAGGGGGACGAAGTAGAGACACTCGAATAAAGGCCATGCAAAAGATAAAACAAAAAGAAGAAATTAAGAATAAACGAAAAATAAAAACACAAGAAAATAAGAATTACACTTGAAAACAGCCCAACCAAAATCGACGAAATGAAAATACTCTTTAGCATGTCATGGAATGTGTGTGTGTATGTGTGCGGCCCAAAGAACCGGCATAAAAGTAATTATCCACACAACAAACAAAAAAGAAAAAAAAAAACAGCAAAAACCCCAAGTAGAGTCAAAAGGGAGCGAATAAATACCACTTGTCCGAAGGCCTTTACGAAGCAGCCAAGTAAAGGAAGAGTTGAAACACGTTTAGGCTCGAATCAGAAGACACAGAAAATAAAAAAAAAAAAAAAAATAACAAAAGTATTAAGCCGTACACATTTTGCTGAATTTGTTGATGTTGTTTGTGTAATTCTTCTTTAGACCAAGCAGCAAACAAACACACACACATATTCACTCGCTCGCTCGCACACTCATACATTCCTAAACATGGAACAAAAACATGGTACCTGACCGCCACAAGCCAGTCGCCTCAAACCGAGCCATAAACCAAAGGTAGTCTTAGTCCAATAAGAAAATGTTAATACAAAACGCAAGAGAAAAGATAGGCCGCATATTTTTGTTGTTATTTTTTCGTTTCGAAAAGAAGCCACGAAAGAGTCCAAAAGAAGGGGTAGAGACCAAGAAAATGAGTAAGAACGCAAAAATACCTCAAAAAAATCATCATCATTTAAAGGCAGCAACATCATCATCATCATCGGCATTATTATGGCCCAAACTTAATGGCCATTGTTAAAACCAAAAATAGTTTCATTCTTATGAATTCACAACTAAGTCGTCGGTAACAGTAACAACAACAACAAACAGCCTCTTGTTCTCGCTATTGGGCCTAGTATGTTTTTTAAGTTAAGGTCTGGCGGCCGAATGGTTTTGTAATTATTTACAGAAAACGAAACTGGGCAAAAATCAAGACTTACCCATACATAGGCAGCTAGGCTCACACACACGTGCTTCTATGAAATTCTTCTTCTCTTTTACGCTTGCTTCTCTACAATTTTTCAAAGTCATTAACAAAAAAAAAAAAATCCAACCACCATATAAAATAAAATAACAAAAAAAAAAAAACTCACACGAGTTGAACATTTATTTCTTACGAATCATAATTATTATAAACAAAAACAACAATAATAAAATAAATTATTAAATTTTATATATTTGGTGTTTACCTTTCACAAGTCCAGCCATCGAGTAATCATGGCCTTTTGTGTGTTTTACAACAAGTGATTTTTAATAAAAAAAAAAACTAAAAAAAAATACCAAACAAAAGAACCAAAAATAACTACCCACCAAAGAAAAAACAAATCATTAACACCAAGTTAAAACTACGACAACAATTACTTTATAACAAAAAAACAAACCTGTGTAACATAATTATTAAAATCATAAACGTTGATTTTCTATAATTTGTCTTTTTGTAATCTCTTTTTTTTCTAGAAATCAAAACTAATTTTTCCCAACGTCTAAAACGAAAAAAAAAAAAATAATAATAACTCTTGTGTGAACTCTTCAAAAAGCTAAAGAATAAAAATTCACGTCTCTTTAAAAATTTAAGAGCAGCTTTAAAATCACGAAAAAAAATATTAAATAAAGATATCACTGAGAAATCTACGCTTAACAATCAATCTTCAAACCAAAACCTACGCATATCCGCTGACTAAAACTTAATTGGTAAATTTCGAAACTTTTAAATTTCATTCGATTTTTTTTTTATTAAAAATTAAAGCTTATTTTAGATTTTTGTTTTGATTTTCACAATTGATTTAATTACAAATTATTATCCTTTCTTATCCTTCTGTCTTATTTTATATCAAAAAAAATATTTTAATTATTTTTATTTTTTTAATTACAAATTACTATCCTTTCTTATCCTTCTGTCTTATTTTATATATATAAAAAAAAATATTTTAATTATTTTTATTTTTTAATTACAAATTATTATTCTTTCTTATCCTTCTGTCTTATTTAATTATTAAAAAAATACTTTAATTATTTTTATTTTTTATCTAAATTATTATAATCTATGAAGGGGACAAAATAAAGATTGATTTTTTATTGGTTTTATTTGTAAGGGCCTGGTTACATTTTTTGTTTAGAATATTTTTTCTTTTGAATACTTTTCCATTCATATGGTGGATTGTTATACCCTTCACCTTTGTAAGACCTCAATAAATAATCATTCTAGTCACCATAAAGTACATCTATTCATTGGCAGTGTAAAACTCCACACCCCAATTTCAAACCAAAATCCGTTGGATTTTTAAATTCCATGGTATTTGACTGTAGATGTTCTCCTCTTCCAATATATGCCCCCACGGTACACCTTGATTTTTTGCATTTGAAAAGGTCGAATTGTCGGTATAGTCACTGGGGATATTTAGAGGCTTTCGTTCCATTTTCCAACCAAATCCGATTTTAAAATTTTGGGTTCTTTATAAAATATACTAAATTTAGGTCCGCTCCTATAAAGTACGTTTATTCATTGGCAGTGTAAAACTCCACACTCCAATTTCAAACCAAAATCCGTTGGAATTTGGAAATTCCATGGTATTTGACTGTAGATGTTCTCCTCTTAAAAATTTCCAATATATGTCCCCACGGTACACCTTGATTTTTTTGCATTTGAAAAGGTCGAATTGTCGGTCACTGTCACTGGCGATATTTAGAGGCTTTCGTGTCATTTTCCAACCAAATCCGATTTTAAAATTTTGGGTTCTTTATAAAATATATATAATTTAGGTCCGCTACCGATCTTCGGATTTTTTTTTAAGAGTTTTAATCTTGCATTTCGATCTCTTAATGGATAAACAGCTCTCAAAAAATATTCAATGTGGGGCCACTTTTTGGTATAATTTAATCATTTCGATTTTTTTGTAGGCAAATATTCAAGACCGGTCGCATAGATATCCCCCCTCACCCCATTTTACTATACCTCCTGATTTCATCCAGATTTCCAACCAAAGCAGCTTGTCAATTTTCAAATAAATTTCTCTATAATTAGATTTGCTGCTCGCAAAAGGTATTAATTTTAGGTCCGCCTATTCGTATAATCCCATAAAACTGTTTCTCCGAATTTTCGTTTTTTAATCTTTCGAAGTCAATCAGTTTTAATCTTACATTTCGAGCTCGTAGCATGTTAAAAGATCTCAAAAAATATTCAATGTGGGCCACGTTTTGTTATAACCGTATCTGTCGATTTTTCGTTTTTTTTTTTTTTAACTTTTAGTCCGAATTTTCCACCAAATCAGGTGTATAAAAATTGGCACTTGTTGGTTAGAAAGGGTTCTTATGTTTCCTTTGCCCTAAGGTGTAGGGCATTAAAAGTTCGGCCCGGCCGAAATTAATTTTTTTAATTGTTTTTTGATTACCTTGTTTCGTTTTAAATCTGTTCGTTCAGTTGTTTTTAAGAGTTTTTTCTTTTAGTTATCCCTTTTTATATTGTAATATTTTTTTTCCCACAAAAGAACAATTTTCAAAATTTTATAAAAATCCAATTTCTTTGTTTAACTCTTGTAGAACAACTCTTCAGAGAATCTCTTCTGCGTAATTTCGAAAAAAAAAACTTTCAAGTGGTATTTAATCCCATTTGGTCCAAACCAAACCATCACATCCTATATCCAAAACCAAACTTTTCCTTTCCTCTGAATCAAAATTTCATAAACGACATTTATACGAATTATAAGAAAAAGAATTACAACAAATCGTTGCTTGGCCATTAGCGAAGAAAAATTTAGGAGAATTAAAAAAAAAAATATATATAGGACAATTTTGAAAAAAAAAGAAAATTCTTTGACAGAGAGTAGAAAGAAGGAAACAAAGAGTTAATATTTTGCCAAAAACAAAAAGTTAAAGACAGAGATTGTGCAATATATATTTATAGCTGGAAGATATATAGTAGAAACCAAAACCAAGGTTGTTGTTATCCAAAGAAAATACAAAATAATTTTAACAAATTAAATCCCTCACAAAGGCAATTATCGTAAAACAAAAACAAGCAAAGGTTGTTGAGAGCGTTTTTAAAATACAGTAATCAAACAGATTTTAACTAACGCCCGCCCGCCCCCTTACACCCACATACATTTTACCTTAAGAAAGAAGAAAGCCAAAAACCCAGAAGAAATCTCCAGGCAATTTTTAGCAATCTTAAAACAAAGCAAGAAATCAAGAATTCAATATTCAAAAAAGCAGAAAAAAAAAACCAAGTCAATTGATGTTACATTCAGAAAAATAAACTATACAAATATTATACATAAAATTATATACATTTGTAGAATATATACATATTTTTAATATTTATATATATATAAATAGAGAAATAACAAGAGCGAGAGCGAGAGAAGAAGAAGTTAGAAGAAAACATAACATTTTAATCCTTGATAGTTAGTCAAAAAGACTTTTGTGAAATATTTCATTCAAACTCAGAAAACAAAAAAAAAACTTAAATAAAAATTGAAAAATAGTTCAATATCAAAGTAGCAAAAAATAAAAATAAAATAAAATTATATAGAAGAAAAATTTTGTTATTAGCATAAATGAAAGTAAAATAAGAAGAAGGATATCAAAGGTAATATTAAATACAAAGTCAAAGGTTTGGCAATATTTTTTGTATAGAAAAAGAATTGCTGCAAACCACATCAAATTTGACTCAAGAGTACGCGTTTTGACAATCAATACAAAATTAGCGTGAACATATTATTAAATATACATTTTTAAATATAATCTCAATCGTATACATAACATAGCATATAGAATTTTCAATTCGAAAAAACATACTTTTTTCCGATTCCCTATTACGAATCGAAGCTGCAATCATCTACACAAAACCCCAAAACAATCAATCTCTGTGTGATTTAAATTTATATAACCTAAAAAAAATTAAAATCTGATCAGCAATCAATCCAATATCCTCTTACTCTGGACAATCTCTTTCTACATTTTTTCTACAAGAATAGAAAATAAATAAAACCAAAAGTGATCACCTTCTTTTTGTCTTACTTCTACAAAAAAAAAAAAAAAAAAAAATACCAATCTAAGGATAATATCCCATCAAAGCAAAACCTCTTGGACAATCTTTCTACAATTTAAATATTTCATAAAACCCCCAATTTTATATCTCGACAATCTATATACTTGTCTTTTACTCTAGTATTTATATACTCTATATATATATAAATAAAATAAAACTTTTAAACATATAAATATACATTAGCAACAATCAGCATATCTAGCAGAACTTTTATTGCACAAAAATCGGAAGAAAAAAAAAACAATCAATATCCCCATTTTTGACAATCCTTTTTAGCAAAACAAGTTTCTAAGCCACCTCTTTTTCGTATATATAAATATTTATATTCAGAAAAAAAAAAAACAAACTAATCACAGTGTTTCAATATATTTACCTTTAATTGTAGAATTTATCTTAGCAGAAAACAACAGCAAACTATAGAAAACAAATCAAAAGAACAAAACCAAAAAACTATTAAAAGAAAGAAAACCTAATCAAAACTCTGCAATCAAAACGAAAACAGAATAAAAAGCAACAATTTGTTCCATATCACTTCATATTCATACATATAAAAAAGAATTGGCTAGCACATACATATTTACATAGTCAAAAAATATAGAAAAAAAAAAAACAACAACAAAACAACAAAAGTTCCACATTAGAACACATTGTTTCCTGTCTATCCTGACCTTTGCAATAACTTAAACTCCACACCCCCCTCAACAACAAAATACCACCAATCGACGTGCAAATCAAATAAAAAGTCAGCAAAAGTTTAAAAAACAAAATCACAAAGAAAAAAAATAAACTTCAAAAAAATCTCAGTGATCCTAAAAAAATCCACCAACAACTAGCAGAACAGCAACAACAAATATTTACATCTTGCATCGAGTTTCAATTTCCAATTGAAAACAAGACAAAAAGCTAAGCTCATCATCTTCCAGCTTTTCTTCAACACCAACAACTTCGCCTGCAAAACGATTATAATGGTAAGAGAGAGTTGCTTTTTTTTATCAATGAAGTTTTGAAAAAAAATTGTGAATTTTATATAGGCTTAGGAGCATATTAATATAAGTCAGTAGAACTAAGCAGAAAATTATTGGAACATTTCTTTGTAAAGGGAATTGAAAACATATTGGGATTTACCAAAATTTTCAAAAATACAAAAAAAAAAAAAGAATATTCAGGAGAAGGTTCTGCCAGTAAGAAAGGCCGAAAGTCGGGCGGGGCCGTCTGTATGATACCCTACACCACTATGCGTATTTAGTAGAGTCCACGTAACAAAAAAGTTTGTATTGGGGATTTATGTGAAGTAGATCATACCAACTATGAACCAAATAGCATTGCTGTATGGTGCATGATATGACTTCAATAAGGATTATATTGGATATATATTCATTGGAGCAATAGATATACCGGGCCGAGTTTCACCAAATGGTAAAATTCGGTTGAATATGACAAAATCTATTCGATTTGGGCTGATAATACTTATATATCGATCATCATAATACTTATAGAGCGAGGATATAAAAATATCAGAACCGATGTTGATAAAATTTGGCAGAAATATTTTCGAGAAGTATCTGATATCCGGTATCAAAGTGGAGTGCATATTATGCGACTTTAACACCAAATCGGATGAAACATGCACATGGGAGCTATAGCTATATCTGAAGCGATTTTCATCAAAATTTGATTTCAGCTTTTAGGCTGAATTCCCTGGGAAGTGCCAAAAATTCAGTCCATTTGGGCTGTTATAAGCCATTTGGTGCTCAAAAAACCTAAAATCGGATAAAACTATATATATCGGAGCTATATCCAAATCTGAACCGATCTTGACAAAATTTTAAAAACTTATTTCTGATACGGATCTGTATATCGGTTACCGAATAATATTGTTGTGAAGTGCACATTACTGCATGTGAGGGACTTAGAACCCCAAATCGGATTACACATATCCAGGGTGAGACAAAAAACCAGCAACAAAGTCAAACGCCATAATTTTTACAATTTTTTTTTTAAATTTTATTGAATGAAAGCAAAAAATGTCGGAAATAGCATCAAATTTTGGAATAAGTTTAGATTTGTTCGAATTGATCACCTTTGGCACGAATTATGGCCTTCAAACGGCCAATGAAACCGTCACATGCTGCCCGAATGTTGCTCTGCGGTATTTTGGCCCATTCCCGGCGAAACACTTGCTTGAGGTGATTGGCACTTTGGTATTTTTTGTGCCAACTTTGCTTTCCAAAATACTCCAGACACAATAGTCCAACGGATTGGTATTCTTGGGTGGCGCGAGCAGAGTGCGATGGTGTTGATTCCTGTTGAAAAGTTCAAGGTCTGCGGCCAACATGTTTGCCTGCCCAAGGCTTAAATACACCCTCCAGAATATTTTCGCGATAATATTCGGCAGTTATTCTGATGCCACGGTCGATTAATATGAGCGGAGAGCGACCATCGGCTGATATGGCGGCCCACATTATCACCATGACCGGCGCTTGAGTTCTGGTGGCCAACCGAAGGTTCACATTTTCAGTTCACCTCTTTGGCAAGTAAATACGATCATTTTGTATCTTTACAAACTGCTGGACAACGAATGTTTTCTCTTCGGAGAAAACTCAAATCGGCAGTTCACCACTTTCGGCCAAGCTCTCTTTGAGCCTATTTTCTTTCATTTGCGGTGTAAGTTCTTGCGCTTTTTAGAATTTCAATGACTTTACCCCGAGCTCATTTTTCAATATATGCCGAATGGAATATTGCGATATGTTCAGCTCACGAGCCATTTTTCGCATACAATATAATGAGCTGTAACTAAACAATATAATGAGCTGTAACTGGAATAATTTTAACAGCTGTCGGACGACTGGCTTAGAAATGACAGCAGTCTGAAGTTGGTTAAAATTTTTTCCATCTCAACCCGTCTATGAAAGCTATAGCTTTATCTGAACCGATTTTCACCAAATTTAAAGTACTTGTTTTTAGGATGAATATGGTCGGATGTGCCGAAATTCAGGTCATTTGGACTGATATTGGCATTTGGTATACATACAATTAACCGGAAATCGGTCGAAGAGATATATTTGAGCTATATCTAAATTTTGACCGATTATCTCCAATTTCAATATGGTTCGTCCTTGAACATAACAAATTTTTTGTGGAAAGTTTCATCTTGATCTTGCAATAAATGCGACCTGTATTTTTTTTCACAGAAATATATGGACGGACAGAAGGACGGACTTCGAATTAGAATGTGATTTCGAGACTAATTTTTAGAAAATTCAAAATTATTGGATATCTGAGTTTCCTTCAATATGCCAATAGTTTAAAGTATAGCAAATTTAGGAATGCGTCAATATTACGAAAACCAATTATAGGAAATATTGAAAAAAAGACCATTGATACATTGATGGCTCTGAGACCAACTCATAACCAGATTACAGTTTGAAAAATGTCAATGAGAATTGCTTGCTTTCCTAATTCCAATATTCCCCACTTTGTTGCATAAGGAAAATTAAAATATTTGTCATTCATGAATATTCGCCTGTCTTCGGATATGACCTCAAAATTGTTGCGATAAGAAATGATACGTGGGACATTTACCAGACTCTATGAATAATTCATTTTGGTACAGTTTATCAAAATATTCCCATCAAAAAATGCAGCAAACATTCTATTAATTTATTCTTGTGATTTTAAAATCCCAATGTTTTCGAATTAATTGTCTTATCACTTTGAAAATTATAGCGTTCAGTGAAGGAATAATTGTACTTACAATAGGCGAACATTTAGAAAACACAAAAGGGATAACGTTACAATTTCCAATTTCACATAATTCAAAATAAACGCAACACTGAAGATTTTTTTTAAAAACTACGTTGTGAAGAAATGTTCCAATAATTCTGCATAGTTGAAATTTTTGTATTGAAAGTATTACAAAAAAATTAGGATAGTGTTTTATCGTAACGTTATATTATTATATTTAAAATAAAAGGAAACAAGAAATGATTGAGAGAATTTGGTTTTCCTGAACTTTTTAAAAAAAATAAACTTATTTTATTATCTTTACAACTTTGTTGGTAGCAAACAAAAATTACAACTTAAAACTCTTATAACTTAAATTACAAACTATAAACTCTAATATGCTATGACTACTATTTTCTGCTACTACAACCACTACCACTGCTACAATTTTCATTTAATTTCAATATTTTTCTTTGCAAATACAAAACAACTTCTTTGTATGTCCTTTTGCTTCTACCCTTCAAACTGGCAAGAAATTGTTCATTTCTCAGCTCTGCTCCTCCTGATCTCAGATTATTCTTTCTCTGTCATCTTTTATCAAAGTCACAATTCTTTGTAATATTTGAACTGTGTTTGGTTTCTACGCAAATAGCAAATGGGGTTTTCCATTTTCTGCTGCTATACCTTCCACTATTTCACTCTTGTTCTCCCACTCTCACCTCCTTCTCCTTCTTGTTCTTTGGTTGATAATTTTCTTGTTAAATAACAAATAAATATAAATAACTCAAAACAAAATCTACCACAACTATTTTGTATTTACTTAATTAATGGTCACATATTTTTTTCTGGAATTTTTTTCCTTAAAAGCACTCTAGGTTAAAGTTTTGTTTATAAAATAACACCACCACCTCCAACAACAAGAAAATTAAAACAAAGAGTTGTATATTCTAATATTTGTTTTTATTAACATAACTTCACATTTATTTTGGTTTGTGTTTTTTTCTTGTTCTAATTTCCTCAAGAAATCTTAAATTATTATTAATTCTGTTGGCTTTATGAGCTGTTGATTTTTTCCTTTTGGTTTGAGTTTCCTTCTTCTTAATCTTTCTCTCTCATAAACTTACCTATTTCTATACCAGCAAAAAAAGTAAACACCAAAAACTACTACTTAACAAAATACTAAACAAAAATTAAAAACCACAAACAGCAAATGCAGTTGCTACAGGCAGCACCGACAGCCGGACATCCGCATCAGTTGCACATGCAGCCACCCACCTATTCGCCCGGCTATCCAGCTGGGGCTGTTGCTGCCGCAGCTGCGGCCGCCACCATGTTGCAGCAGCAGCAACACCAACAGCAGCAACAACAACAACAGCAGCATCAACAACATCAATATCAGTTGCAGCAACAGCTACACTATGTCCAACAACAGCAGCAGCAGCAACAACAAACCATTGCTGCCGCCCAACAACAGCAGCAGCAACAACAAATGCAAATGTTGCAAACCTATATGCAATTACAGGTTAACAATGCGGCCAGTCCCACAACACCCACGAAATTTGGGGCCGCGCTGACCCATCAACCCCCCCAACAACAATCCCAACAGCAGCAGTTACATCAACAGCAACCACCAGCTTTCTTTGCTGCCTCATCCCCAGCCGGCACACCCCTGACCATAATACCAGCCTGCAATGGCTCAGCTGCGGTGGCGGCCGCCATGTTTGCGGCCAACATGACATCGACATCGTCCACAACGTCAACAGCAACCACAACTCCATCCACCAATAATGTAAATAATAACATTAGTCTATCTGCAACTAGTTCTTCTCCATCAGCAGCAACTGCGGCGACCGGTGCATATTTGGGTGGCGGCGGTACGGCTGTTGGCTCGACCGCGAGTGGCATGGCCGCCGCCGCCATGGCCATTGCCAATGCCACCAATTCCGTGCACGTAACGCCAAATCATGGAGGTGCTGGCCTATTGGGTGGTGCACCCCCCAGCCACCAGGGCGGCATTCTGATGAATGCTCCCGACTACTGGGCGGCCAACTATTTTGGGGCCACACCTCCGGCAACGGCCTTATCGTCCGCGGGCATTGCTGGTTTTGTTGGTATGCGTCCAGGTGCCGGTTTGCTGGGCAGTGCTCCGGGCTGTCCCACCATTGAATTGGCAAATAAAACATCAAAACTTTTATTGGCCACCTCGCCGTTGCCACTCAATTCCAGCCAGGCATCATCCCACACGTCGTCGTCCTCTTCTACATCAAGTCGCTGCAGTTCTGCTTCTTCTGATTGTTCTATGTCATCGCCATCTTCATTGCATCTATCTTCTCCTAAAAAGGTTTGTGTCTACTTGTACGTCTAGATGAACTCACAACAACAACAACAACAACAAAAATACCAAAATGTGTCGTCTAACTGTGTGTGTCTCTAACTCCTCCTGCATCCCCCGAAACAACTAACAACAACTAACCCAAAACACTACCTGAAATTCCCCCCTCAAAAGAAACTCTCCTTACCCAAAATCATTGTTGTATTTGTGTTTTCTTTTTGTTGTCATATGGTTTCTTTGAGTGTATTTTTGTTGTAATTGTTTTTTTTTCGTTTTCACTAAAAAAACGCTACTACTTGGTCTTGTAAAATATCATCTTCATCACAAATCCTTTGCAAGGATTCTCTGTACTCCTCTCATCTGTAGTCATTCATTTGTAATATAATTAGCTTTTTTGAATGTTAGAAATAGCGCTCTCCCTCTCTCTCCCCCTAAGTGTTCTGCTCTCTATGTTTTGCATAAAATGTAGTGTTTGTTGTATTTTTTTTCGTTTCGAATTTGTATATTTTGTTGTTGTAAATCTTTTCAAAAATAACCTTTGTATCATAAAACGGAATTATTTATAAGAAAAACATATATTTTGTGTATCACCCTGTCATTCAATTGAAGGACCATTGAATCAACACAGGGTAGTTAATAAGTTTAAAAATATTTTTTTTCTTAATGTCATATCAATTTTTTTGAAACATGTGATTATTAAGCAAAGTAAAGTCGCAAACGAAGAATTTAGAATATCTTCTTAAAAAGAAAAACGTTAACAAAAGCAATTTGTTGATATAAAAAATCTAATTTATAACCACCCTGTTTTCAGCACGAAGGACCATTTTGAGTACAGGGTGGTTATATCCATAAATAATTATATTCTAATCAAAGTTGTAAAAATATGTAGTTTCAAATATCGTCACATTTATTTAGCTTGATATAATAATGTAAGGTCAGGGCACTACATGCTAGGTACATAAAAAAAACTGCAACGCCACAATTTTCATATTATTTTAAATGTTATTGAATGAAATCAAAACATGTTGGAAATAGCATGAAATTTTATAATAAGTTTAGATTTGTTCGAATTGGTCAACTTTGGCACGAATTATGACCTTCAAACGGCCAATAAAACCGTTATACGCTGCCCGAATAATTTTTTTTATACACCCACGCGGTATTTTGGTCCATTCCCGGCGAAGCGCTTGCTTGAGGTGATCGACACTTTGGTATGTTTTTGGTGCCAACCTTGCTTACCAAGATTCTCCAGACACAATTGTTCAACGGATTGGTATCCGGAAATTTTGGTGGCCATTGTGCGGTGGAAATGAACGAAATGAAGTAGGTTGATAAAATTTTACTCAAATTTATATTATACAGGGTTGCCCATATTCGACGGACCTTTGGGCCCATTCCAATCGACGAGGCTTGTCCGCAGGCAACATTCTCCATCAATTGAATTTTGTACGGGAACAAATGCAAATCAATCCGTTGTAAAGTGGCCCGAGCCATGCCCAACTGCTGAGAACGGCGTTTTTGGGATGTTCTTGGGGACCTCTCAACACTGGCTCGTACGGCAGCGATATTCTCGGCCGATCGCCTTGGTCGACTTTTATATGGCCTCTTCGGATTAGAAAGAGCCTTACCAGTCGAAAATTTTTGTATAAACGCCTAATGGTGTTCTTAGAAGGCGAACTTCTCACATTTTTTAATGTTTTAAAAGCACGTTGAGTTTTCACAATTGTCTTCTTCTGTTGAATGTAAATTTAAACTATTTCAGAGCGCTCGCCTGGCGTGTATTGGTTCATGGTAAAAATCTGCTTGGACTGATGCTTCAAACGCGATATGTCATTAATCGATGTGACATCTCTGTCAAAAGTTATGGCGTTGCCAGATGGGTCCGTCGAATATGGGCAACCCGGTATCTGGCATAGAAAATGCGCCATGTTGTACGTCCACGTTATGGTATATCCGCATATAACGGTACCTCCCGATATTCGGTATTTTGATGATTTTATCGACATTATTCACCCGGATTGTTTCAAATTTCGTTTTTTAAGTTCGTAATGAATACTACAGCCTATGACAGTAAATTGTCTCTGCAGGTCCACGTCTTCTTATAGCCCCACATAGAGTGGTACCTCCTGATATTCGGTATTTTGGTGATTTAAGCGGCATTATTCACCGGAATTGCTTCAAATTTGGTATTTGAAGATGGTAATGGATATTACAGCGTATGACAGTAAATTGTCTCTGCAGGTGCACGAAATCGGTACCTCCCGTTATTTGGTGTTTTGATGATTGGTCCACGTCGTCGTATAGACCCTAATATAACGGCTACATTCGGTATTTTAAAGATTTTAACAAATATTTTAACGGATTTTATTTATTTTTTTTTTGAAAATTGCAAAATTTGTTCCAAGTGGTTGGAGGGTATTCAAAATTCGACTCGGCCGATCTTATAGCTTTTTTACTTGTTTCAAATAAACGACCATTAATTTGTTCTAATTTGATTAGAAAATTTAAATTATCTATTGGTTTTGATCCACCATAAAATTCGACATTTACCCTTTGTCATATTTCAACATTTATCCTTCGACCTTTCGATATGTCGATATTCCCCACTTGAAAATAAAATTCCAAAAAAATAAAAAATAAAATTCCAATAAAAGTCTATTAATAGTATATAAACTAAGTTTAATCATTGCATTGCTTTTTGTTCGGAAGTCGAATTTCGATTATTTGGGTATTTTTAAAAAAATCTTAATCGTTGCATACTTTTTGCATATGTGAAAACGAAAAGTCGACCATGTACAATCGCAAAATCAGAAGTGGGCTTCAAGTAAAATTTGATTTCGGTTTTTATAATCTTAAATACCAACATTCGATTTTTATACCCTACACCACAAGGTGGTCAGGGTATTATGTCTTTGTGCATTTGTTTGTAACAGGCAAAAGGAAACGAGATAGACCCATAGTTCCTTTTGATGATCTGCATAGATTCACTTTCTCAGGTGATTTATGCATGTCAGTCCGTCTGTCCGTCCGTCTGTCCGTCCGTCTGTCCGTGTATTCTTGTGAACAAAATGCAGGTCGCATTTATTATCCGATTGAGATGAAATTTTGCAAACAACATTTGTTTGGCCCAAGGACGAACCCTATTGAAATTGGAGATAATCGGTAAAAATTTAGATATAGCTTCCATATATATCTTCGTCCGATTTGCCTTTTATTGTGCACCAAACGTGTAATATCTGCCCGAATAGTATGGAATTTTGCACATACAACCAAATTAGGCCTGCAAATAAGTATGCCAAATTTGAAATCGAAATCGGTTCAGATATATCTATAGCTCCCATATATATTGTTCATCCGATGTGTTATTTTTGTCCTCCGCAGCCGTAATATGCACTCTGTAACAACAATATTTGGGGAAATATAGCAAATACAGCTTAGAAATACATTTGCTAAATTTTATCGAGATCGGATCAGGTTTGGATATAGCTCCCATATATAACTTCGTCCGATTTACCTTTTATTGTGCACCAAATGTCTAATATTTGCCCAAATGGGATGGAATTTGGCACATACGACCGATTTGAGTCTAGAAGCTAGTATGTCAAATTTGGTGAAAATCAGTTCAGATATAGCTGTAGCTCCCATATATATTGTTCATCCGATTTGTTGTATTTGTTACCCACAGCCGTAATATGCACTCTGTAACAACGATATTCAGGGAAATATATCAAATACAGCTCAGAAATATCTTTGCCAAATTTTATCGAGTTCGGTTCAGATTTGGATATAGTTCCCATGTATTTCTTTATCTGATTTCAAATTAATTTTGCACCAAATGGGCAATACAAGTCCGAATTTAAAAGATACAAATGCTTCGGCATATTTAGTCCTTTGAATTTTAAATTATAATTATAATCATAGCGTGTATGATTAAATTCTCCCATAAAAACTTTTAATTATTAAGTGGAGCTCAACTATATTAGCAAAGTGGTGTAGGGTATCATAAAATCGGCCCCACCCGACTTTAGGACTTTCTTTACTGGTTAGAATATGGATATACTGACGTTGTCCGTTTTTTCCTAAACATAACTAAACAATTCAAGCATAAAATCTGCTACATTTGTCACCAAAATGGTTCGATTTTTATCCACCCAAATACTTGGTAGATGTTTGAAGTTATTACCGATAAACATAAAATATTTCCCCTCTCAAAACCCTGACCCCAAAAACTGGTACCCACGTAAAGTCGTAGATTACCACTACCACTTTATTTCCCTCTACTTCACATATCGACATATATTATTGATGACGAAGGCCCGCATTCAACACTTGTTCCTTTCATGACTGCATTTACTTGGTGTTACACCTTTCCCCATCAACTCCTCCTCCCCCAATGGAATTACCTTATCAAAGCAAGCAAGCAGCAAACCAAATATGGAAATATTCAACACCCTTGA